TATTGAGCGCTTTCTAATAAGTACAAGGTGATATAATATATAAATAATTATACATATATATATATTTATTTATATTTATATTCACTTTTCACATATATATATATATATATATATAAAGTTACACATCAAAACAAAAAAAATAAATAAATAAAAAGAGAGAGAAGTCAGATTCATTTTCAGCCTTTTCAAGATGTTCACTATGGCAAATTCATACTAATCAATAACTGGATTTTTAGTTATTCACCAAAAGGATAAGTAAGTCTTATTTCCTGTTTAATTGCATTTTTTTCTTTCTTCTATGTGCTGTGTCCTTTCAAGACTTTGATGATCATGGCACTCCACAATTTCCTATTCTTTGTAGATCTTAATAATTTTTTTTCTTTTTGTTATCTCTCCTAAACTTTGCTCTGCCATTCATTTACTCACTAGATAGCTTATGCATCAAATTTTCCAAGCCCTCTTTCCTCTTCCTTATGTACCCTAGAAATTTCAACTGCCTCTTCCTGATGTTATGTAGAAGTTTCCTTTTCCTCTAAATCTTGTTAACATGTTTGGTTCATGGTATTCTCAGCATCCTTCTGTAGAAACACATTTCTGTTGCTTCTTTATCTGTGATGAGATTGTCCTGCATTCACCGCAATATGCGAGGTCTGATACCCTTAATAAAAAAGTTGTTTTTTCAATTACACACACATACATACATCTACGTGTATATATATATATATATATATATATATATAAATAAATGCATAGTGAGTTCTGGTGGTAATATCAAGTACATAAAAACTGTTAACATGGACAAAATTAAAAATTTTGTTTTAAAATTCTACATAAAAAAATTTGTTATATTTTATAAAACCTACTTTATTCTAGAATTTTTATTTTATAATAAATTTGTGAAAATTTAAAGGCAGCTTCATAAAAATTCAACCTTCACAAACTTAAATTTGGTAGTATAATAGGAGTAGGTAGGCTTTCCTACCATCCAGTCAATACTCCTCCTCCTTCTCTTGAACAAGAGTAGAGGCTCACCCCCTGTTTCTTGTTTAAGAAGGTGTTCTCAGAACTCCTTCTCTCTGGCCTCAGTACTAGTACTGCTGTGATTCTCCTGTGATATGCACAGTCTGTGGCAATGCCTCTTCATTCTGAGGGTACACGGTTGACAGTTTTCTGGTTGCTGTTCCCAACTGGTAGTTAGGAGCCCTAACTCTTGCATAGCGTCTTGAGTGGCCACTCTGATCAACAGTTGTATAATACTGGGGTGCCTGTAGTGCCATGTCATGCATGGAAGGGGGTCCCTGCATTCACCTCCAGTGGGCAACCCTGAGGCCACATTATGTTGCAGGCTGCGCCAGGTCCTTTCTGCCCACATCACAGACAATGACCGTCTGCTACTTCTACTTCAGGCTTTCTCATTTTCACTTCCTAGATTACCAAATAATGATCAAAAATGCAAACCTAAGCCAGCTCTTAAAAAAAGAAGCACCTAATCCTTTTAACATTTCCTTTTCTAATGTCCATGGCATTCAAACCAACTTCTGCAGTGTGGAATCGTTCCTCATTGAGAAGTCTCCCGATATACTGGCTCTCTGTGAGACCAACCTCCACTCCTTTATCCCTTCCTCTGACCTCTCGATCCCCAGTTACCTTCCTCTCCTTAGAAAAGACTCAAACCTACATGCACAGCCTTGGAGCTTATATCAAAGACCATCTCCCACTGGCTAGACAGCTCACTCCTGAATCTCCAGAGCACTCATACTTGTGTCTCTGCCTCTCTCTCCTCAATGATGTAAGCTACCTCTTCTTCCTCTATTGCTCTCCATCCTCCCAAGACTGTAGTGTACTCGAAAGCATTTCTGATATTATAGACAAAGCTATCTCTCTCCATCCGTTTGCTCATATATTTGTGTTCGGGTTACTTTAATGCCCACCATACCAAGTGGCTTAAAAACTGACCTTACTGGCATACAAACCCTTAACTTTTCTATTTCTCAATCCCTCACGCAAATAGTTGACTTTCCCACACATTTTCCCAACAACCTGGGTGGTAAGGCTTCCCTTCTCGATCTCCGTTTCACCTCCATCCCCAAGTCCTGTTGCACCTTGCAGCTCTGCCCTCTTGGCAACACTGATCATGTCTGTCGACATCTCCTTCTACTCCACCCAATATAGCTCCAAGGATTATTGTTTCTCTGCAAAAGTGTACTTAACAACAGCAAACCTTCAATGCCTCCTTTGTCCAACTAATTTTAGGTTCTGAGCTCCTCGGACTGAGTGCTTTGCTCAGAAATTCTCTTCCAACTCAACACACGACTCATCCAGTGTACCCACACCCGATTCCCCCCCCTAGAATCAAGGCTCTATCAAGTGACTTGCATATAACTCCATCATTGATATTGGGCATCATCTTAAAAATTAGACTCCCATAAGGTTAGTAGTGGTGACAGGATACCAGCCATTGTCCTGAAGAAATGTGTTCCCAAACTGGCCCCTGCCCTCTCCAAATTATATAACTACTGCCTCAATGAATCTTGTTTACCAGCCTGTTGGAAGTCCTCATCTATTGTAACTGTTTTAAGAACTCTGGAGACCCTTCTGACCCATCTAACTACCATCCTATCAGTCTCCTACCACTCTTCGGCAAGTGGTTAATCACCTTATATCCCATGATCTGCTCTCTGATAAGAAATATGGTTTCTGTTTTGCCCATTCTACAGCTGATGTGCTCACAGCCATAACTGAAAATGGTTACCAAGCACTCCACAATAACAGAGAAGCTCTTACCATGGATCTAGATATCTCTAAAGTGTTTGATAGGGTCTGGTATGCAGGCCTCCTTTGTAAGATTAAGGGATACAGAATTTCAGGTCAATTATTTGACTTAATATAATCATTCTTATCAAACCGTGTAATGAAAGTCGTCCTTAACAGATTCTCCTCCAGTTCCTTTCCCATGAATGCAGGTGTTCCCCAAGGCTCTATCCTGGACCCTACTCTGTTCCTTACCTTCATTAATGATTTCCCCAATGTCATCAGTTCCCAAGTAGGTATCCATGCTGACAGCTACTATTTACTCCTGCCTCAATAACAAGTCTGGTATTGCTGACAAAACTAACCTGGCTGCTAGTCTCAAAAAGGACCTCCAATTAGTTGTAGACTGGGGCAGGAATTGGCTGGTTAACATTAATGCCTCTAAAACAAAACTGCTCTCTATTACTCACCACAGGGAACCATCTCTGCCACCCATTAGAATGTCTGATGCTCAACTCCAGGAGAGCACCTCTTTGTGACTGCTTGGTCTCACACTGTCTGGTGACCTGAGATGGAACAATTACATTGAATCAATTGCTTCATCCACTGTAAGGAAAGTTGGTTCCTTATGTCATACCAAAAAGTTTTTCTTGCCCAAGTCCATCCTTTAAATCTATAAATCAACCATTTGCCCTTGCATGGAATACTGCTGCCATATATGGTCTGGTGCTCCTGCTGTTCACCTTAAGGTCTGTGACAAGATCCAGAGATCCATGGATATGCAATGTGGTTGGTCCTGATCTGGCATCTCATCCACAGTCGCTCTCTCACAGACATGCAGTTGCCTCCCTCTGTCTTTTCTACAAATACTTTCACAGTTACGATGAGCTACTTTTGCTAGTTCGCAGACTGCATGAATTTAAGTGTGCTACTAGGCTGGCATGACGGTCCCACCCTTTTACTGTCGAAACGGTTAAATGTGGCCATCTCTTCTACTCCAGTAGCTTCATGTCTCGCACATCCTGTCTGTGGAATTCCCTTCCTATTACTTGTTTCTCTGATAGCTATAATCTCCAATTATTCAAATGTAATGTCAATCAACATCTCCAGATGCCCTGACCTATTCCCTGCCCTTCTCTTCATCCTTTCCTCCATCATGCCTCTTTACTCTTGCTCCCACTCTCTGTAACCCCTTGTTGCTAGTGCCACTTCTGCCTTGCTTGGGGTGAAATGCTTAAAAAAAAAAAAAAAAAGATGCATTACAAAAGCTAAGCAGAGTATTAAGAGACGGAAAAAACTGTTAGAGAAAAGAAAAGAGTATTGAACTGTTACATGATGTTTGTCCTCCTATATAGCAGTGAATGCTGGACATCCTCAAAGTTGAAGCAACAGAAATTTGGTTCCACAGAAGGATGCTGAGGATACTATGAACCAAAAATGTGAGCAATGTCAAGGTTTTGGAAAAAAAGGAAACAAAAAGGGAAATTAAACTTAACGTCAAGAAGAGACAGTCGAAATTTCTGGGGCACATAATGAGGAAGGAGGGCTTGGAAAATATAATACTCATAAAACAGATTGAGGGCAAGAGTAACAGAGGAAACAATGCATAACATACTTAGTGAGCTTAAGTAAATGGATGGTTGAACAGAATTTATGAGAAATAACAAAAACACAAAAGTTATTAAGAGCTACAAAGGACAAGAAATTGTGGAGAGTCATAACTGCCTGCATCTTGAGGGGACACAGCACATAAAGAAGAAATATAAAGCAGTTTCAGCATTTGACATGACTCATGACCAACAATGCCTATGGCATCAAATCTGAGATTAAAATCAGCAGAACAAGTAGCAGTGAAGAATTTCAAGTACCTTGGTCCCATCATATCAAAGACTGAGATTTTTGGCAAGGAGAGCACAAGCAAGACTGTAATAGAAAGACTTAAAACATCTGGAAATACAAGAACATCTGTCTACATTCCAAAATTCACTTGCTGCACTATCTTGTTATGTCAATTTTCCTGTACACCTGAGAAATATGGATGCTCACAGCAGGACTCTAAAGAACAATTCTGACAATAGAGAATGAATGAAACAGGAAGATCTTCAAGAGCCCAAATGTTGAAAACATGTCAATTGAAGAGGTTCCCAGAACGGTCCCAAGAGTAATTGAACCTTTTGAAAGAAGGAAGCTAAAATGGTAATTCATCAGGCCTTGAAAAATTCATTTTTGCAAGGAACAGTTTCAAGAACTTGAAGGAGAGAGGAAAAAAAAGTTTCAAGAACCTGAGGAAGACAGAAAATAAGACATCTGGGAATGGATAAGCAAGAACTTGGCAGTCTAAGAGAATGGAAGAAAAAGTGGAATGGAAAAGAATGATGGCTATATCCTTGATGGTGCCCCAACAATTGCAGCTGATACCAGAAGATGAACAAAAAGTGAGAAAAAACATGATTCTTGTACATTAAAATGTATTAGCACACAGTGTTTACTGTTAAGCTCATTGTAAGATGCTATCTTAGCTTATCACATGTTGAGGGTATGGTTATAGATACAAACAAGATATTCAAAATGCAACTCTAAAGAGCAGCAATAATAGATTCTGTCCTGGAGTTTTGCTACTAACATGATTATCACACATGAAAATAATTTAGCTCACATGCTATTTACAGTTAAGCATATCATGAAAATAATTTATCAGTCAATAAGTATACATATAATAGCACTATTCTTTCAGTAACACTTGCATTCATTTCTAAGTATAAATGTTTTTCTTCCTGGGTTTTTAAAACACAGCATAAAGAGTAAGAGTCAAAATTTATTCAAACACATAAAAATGTGCATTAATGATTTTTTTCTAAGTGTGAATGTTACTATGGTGATTTTTATTCAATAAAAATGTCATTCAGCTTCAAGATCGATATTCACCAATAGTGGGCAATAAAAAATTCTTCTGTGAGGAAGGCTATATATATATATATATATATATATATATATATATATATATATATATATATATAGGCTGTATACTCTTTCTATTATCTCATAATAATCCTGAAGTGAGTTTCTGCCTGAATATCTGGATGAGGAGTTATCATGATTGGCATTATTTACACTTGTCTTCATCTTTGCTGTTAACATTAGAATGTTTTAGCCATGGTGCATTCTAGACTAAATCAAGTGCTTATCAATTTGTGTAAACTTCAGGCAATTTTAAACTGAACCCTTTATTTAATTCTCATTCCACTGGCAATGTCTAGGAAAATCTTGTCTAGCTCTTATCAGTTATTTATTGCCCTGTTTCCAATGTAAGTCTGCACTACTCGGCCTAGGGATTGAACTCACAATTACAATGTTATCAAATTCATGAACCAATGCTTTAATCTGGGCCATCATTGACAAGCATCTGAAGTTAAAATTTTGTATAAGTTTTCTTGACTGAAATAAAACAATGTCATGTACATTTCCTTTTCCCCACATAAACAAACTACTACTTGTAAAATCATTGATACTCAAGTGTAGACATGAAATTTGAATCTTTTCGGTCTTATTGGTTTCATTTCTTTTTTTGCAGAGGATTGATGAGATGGTTTAAGTAATAATGTATTTACAATTAATTACAATCAGTATTCAAACTCTAGTAGAAGCCAAGATCTCAAATCCTGATTTTCAAAACATGCAGAACTTCCCCAATAAGTAGATCGGTAAAACACAATCTTTTTGTCACCATTCTTTACCGACATTATTTGATTTTTTAAGTTTAATATTAACAGTTTTTTTACAGTTTACATCGATAAAATTAGTTTTATAAATAACATGTGAGAAAGTGAGAAAGTGTGACACCAGTTACAATTTACATCAATATAAGCTCTAACCAGAATTTACTGTATGTTTTTACTCCTTTCTCATTCTTTCCTCAAAATATATATATATATATATATATATATATATAACCCAAATGAATTGGCATCAGCCAGAGAATCTACCCCTAAGCCTTTGGTGCACAGTAAGGATGAAGGTGAATTTAATCGTATTTATTTTTAGATAAACACACCAGTGACTGAGAGAACTCGATTTGTTTTATCAAAAAATATTGCATTAGTAACAGTATTAGTCACTATGTATAAACTCACACTTTCTCGCCCAAAAATATATATATATATATATATATATATATATATATACACAATACATACTTCTGTATCGTGTGACTTTTGTAGCCCTAATTTTGAAGTCAATTTTAAGAGAGTTGCATCATACATGAGATATAAAATTAGTATATGTACTGGTGGCCCTGGCTATGCCACTGACCAAACTATATATCCATTCACTCTAGTCATATTAGCTTCAAAATTAGGTCTTAAAAGGTCACATGATATGCCAGTATATACAGTGTGTGTGTGTGTGTGTATGTATATATATATATATATATATATATATATATATATATATTGAGACATGTTTCATTGAATAATTTCGACAAGTTTTGTCTACTTATTTTCAATTGAATCCTTTCATATTTTACAGACAAGCTTTCTAGTTTCATTATTGTAAGGAAGACAGAAAATCACTGTGTTGATGCATATTATTTTATTCTGAGTATTTTCGATATACCACAATATCACCATCAGAGTGTAGTTTATTTCAAGACAAATATGAGTGATTCATGATTCCTAAAAGGAAAGCATTATTAGTCTAAAAAGTTCTATCTGTGAATGAAAGATTTTTCCATTTTGCTATTCACTTACCTATTAATTTTATAATTATTTTAACTACTGAGTGTATATATGTTTCTTTAATAATTGTAATTTCAACAACATATACATTGGTTGCACAACCACTACATTATGCCACCAGTTAATGAGCCATTTATCTGATAATAGTTCAATTAAATCACATATAAGCAACTAACACTGAGTGTATTGTACACTGTTTTTACACAAAAAATAAAGTATTCAATAAAGTACAATACAAAGAATTTCTTGAAATATTAAGAAGGGTTAATCTACATGGATAGGATACTGGGAACAGGTAGTGTCTAAAAAAAAAAAATAACAAATTAAGTGAATACATCAAATAGAAAAGAGGTTTGACAAAAATGTGCTTTCTCATTGGATTTATTTAACCTGTACAGTGAGATTGCTCAATAAGAACTGGAGGAGCTATTAGGACTTAATATCAGAGATATAACATTAATAACATGCTCAGCAGACAATACTGTATTAATAGTCTATTCAAACAAAAGACTGAAATAACTGTGAGGCAAGTTATTTGATGAAAACAAGAAGAAAGGCTTAAGCATTAATCATAAGATAGAATGCATGGCTGTAAGTAAAAAGGACAATTTATGATCTGAGTTACACATGGGGATATCAGCATTAAACAAATGCAGAATTTCAATTCTCTAGTCAGTGTAATAAGAGATAATGCAAAGTAATTCAAATGCACCTAGGAATAAGAAAAGACTTTTCAGAAACTGAGTAAGGCATTAAAAGATGAAAAAAGGTTCTTAGAAGCAAAGAAAAATAGAGAGTATGCATCACATAACAGTTTTGCTATGTAATGTCTACTCTCCTATGAGGTAGTGAATGTTGGACAAATAACAAATGAAAAAAAAAGACTTGAGGCAACAGAGATATGATAAATATTTAGAATATCATGACAGAACATGTGATAAACATGTGATGCCATTCATGATGAAGTAAGGTTCAATTTCCTACTTAAAGAATGCACACCTTGTATTTGAATATATATCTGCAAGCCTCATTTTTATATCCAAATCAAAAACACAGCAATTTTTAAATGAATTTTTTTCATCCAACATTATTTCTTATTGCTATGTAGGGATACAAAAGGGGATTATCTCCTTTTTGTTGAGATAAAGTCACAAGGATTATGTGATGTCAGGGGATAAAGTGACAAAGACCAATTGCAATGTAAAGCCCTGGAAAGAAGGACATCTCCAGACTGTTTCAGGAAATATTGCAAGTAAAACTCTCTCTTTTCACACTCCTCACTGTTGTAGACATGTGATATAGTTTCTCTGTGTGAGACAAATGTAAATCTGTATATATAATTTTGTGTACAACTTAGCAGCATGAAATTCTCTCTGAGAACAAAGCATGTTTGTCATTCCTTTTCTTTCAGCTATTCTGTTCTGTCTGTGAAATAAAGTTTTATTATATTTATTATAATAATGCCCATAATGGGGGAAATGAAACAGGAGAATAAACCTTTTTTCCATAGCTCATCCATTAAGTGGTGACCCTGACATGATATAAACACATAAGCAATTAGCATATGTTCACTTCTTGTATAAAACTTCATAAACTGGTGTTCACAACACAATATATTATTAGTACCCCATTAGCTATATATGTTATAACATTTATAGTTATAAGAAATGTCTGATGAAAAAAATCCAATTAGAAAATATATATATAAATATATATAATGCATACATATGCACAATATGGACATAAAACACTCATGTAGGCAAATCAATATAGCATATACAAAAACACTACACATACATATATGCACATGCAAAAGCACACATGAAAACTCAAGTCGACATGCACAAAAACACTTGTAGAAAATATTACATATGCATACATTATTTACAGTCAGACTAATGTCCTTATTTTTGTTTTTAGTATCACAGAACATTTTGGTCACTGTGACCTCTGACCTTCTTTAGTTGTCTGACAATCTGTGTAACTCCTTTCTTATTCAATCTACAGAGCTAGCTTTTTCTCATTCTGCTGACCATGTTTATAGATATCTTCACTTGGTTAATTCTTCAGTCAGTGTTAGTTCTGTTTCCACTGAAGCTGAGTATATCTGTACTACTCAGCCCACAATTATTCAACCACCAAATTCACTAACTAATTGTTTAATTCTCTAGACTATTGTACTCAGACCAACAAACACCTGAAAAAAATCTGGAGAGGATAACAGTCAAAATATTTTGATTGTAATGATTGTCTTTTTTATGGCTTACCAACCTTTTGCAGGTTATTTCAAGCAAAAAATATTTTTATACAGTAAGAAAATTTTTTGAAGATAATAACGATTTACTGTTAAAAGTCCTACTAATTAACCCATAGCTGGGGGGAGAAGTTATAGCTTTCCCAAGGATAGTTAGACTTTATTTTTTTTTGCTAATGTTCACTCAATACAAGGCCCAAGAGGCACTCAAGGGGGAGGGTTACTGTGTGGAGTTGTATTAGGGTAAATAAGGATAGGATAGCAGGAAAGATAGCTAGTTCTAGACTTGAAGAGGTCAAGATTTAATTAACGAATAAAATTTCAGAGTTCAGGCGGAGACGTTACAAGTATAGAGTTAAAGTAGACTTTAGAAGGGACTGAAAACCCAATCCTAAACTGGAAACAAGGGATGAACCTCTACTCGTGTTCAAAAATCCAGAAAAGAGTGTGAACTGGATGATAATCAAATTTATCTACTCCTATTATACATAAGTGAATATAACAAGCCCAACTGAAATTGGAACTCAGTTCTCAAATTCCAAGCCATTATCCATTACACCATCTGCATATCCAAGCTTACAGCATCTGGTATTCCCAAGCAGTCACTCATCTAGTTACTAACTAGGCTTAACATTGCTTAACTTTGTTGATCATACGTGAACTTGTGTTTCAATGTGTTATGGCCGTAAGCTTGACTGTAACAACAAAAATAAAGATATTAGTCTGTCTGTAAATAATAATTTCTCATCCCAAAAATTCAGACAGAAATTACATGTGTACAATATACATAAATGCACACACACACACACACACACACACACACACACACACACACACACATCATTCCTTGTTTTAAGTTTGCCCAAACAGTGACTCATTACAAATGACTCATCCTTGTGGTGATGTGATTTAAGAGTTGTCACAAAAGAAGATGAATTTTTATAACAGACTATTTTGGGACAATACTTGGTAACTAGAAAAATCAATTACTATTTTCATTATATCTAATGAGAAGATAATAATGACCGATTGAAACTTTCTAATTTAAACAAAAAATAAAACAGATTGAAAATAAATTTATTTACCTATTTATTAGAATTGCTGGAACAGAGAATAAAATATGACACATACAAAATATATATCTCCCTGAAAACATGTACCCACTTTTTTGAAGTTATTACTGGAAAATTAATTAAACACTTTTAAATAAAGAATAAATGTCATAATAAAGTTTACAAAGGAAAGTGCTTGATTTTTTATGTTTTCAGTTCTAAAATATTTCTCAAAAGTATGTTACAAAATTATAAAAATATGTATAAATTTTTGATGCATACATTTTTTTGACAAACTTGGACCTCTTCCCCATAAAAATATCAAAAAGTGTTTCTTCCATTGACACGACAATTATTTTAACTACCTTCACTTACTGGCAATGTTTATTATTTAAAAAAAAAAATGATGATTAGAATTATATATACATGTCCTTTGTTCTTGAGAATTTAAAATAAAAATATTAAACACTTTATTTATTGAACTGTT